AACACTATTCTTAATATCCACAAGTATGTACAAATTCAAATTTCTTTGTAACTATTATTCTTTTGTAATTTTAATTATTTTTATAAATCTTATCATTAGTATGCAAACTCCATGAAGGCATAGCTCTTAATTTTACATTTTAAATGGTATAAATTTATGCACACTAATACCACTAAAATCTTTTTATAAGCTTACAAAAATTTAGCCCAATCCAACTTATAAATTGTATAAAATATCCAAAATACTACACATATGTTCTTCACCTCCTAACTTGAAAGTTGATGAAGAAATTCTAATAGCAATTTCTTCTATTACAATTGTTATATTTGGCTCAAAATTAGTTTGAAACTCAGTTATTAAGACTTTTAATTGCCTTCTAGGTTTTATCTCATTCTAACATATAAATCTTTAGATATTGTAATGATCCTAATCAATTTTAATATGTCCTAAAAAAAATAATTCTCCTTATAATTATGATTAGATATTATTTATTTTTACTTTCACAATGACATGATTTTTTTATGTATATCTATTATACACAATTAATCATACATTTAAGAAATTACAACTATAGATGTTGCTCAAAATGCACTAATCAGCTAAAAGGATTTGTACTAAATTTATTACATAAAATTCTAATTACCAATACAAATCTTATTTTTGAATAGTTATTTCAAAGTTATTTCAAAACTAAAAGAAATATGTTCTTTTCTTTTGGAACTAACTTGAAGTTAGATTGCAAACTCTCTATGTCAATCTGCAAATGCTCTTGTACCTTATCATATGCAATTGTTTTATTGATCGGAATCTGATTTCAACCATAATTCACAAATCATTATTTCTTGGATATCAATCCAACCAATCCTAAGATTTTTTTAACACTATTTTTTACTTTTTTTTTTTAATCTTAGAGTGAATCATAAAAATTATTTATGTAATTCCTATGAGTTCTATCAATAGATCTTAATTGGTGAAATTATTAAGATTATAGTTTTAAGTTATTTTAAGAAAAAAAATATTAGGATTAGAGAGTTTATATTATTATTTAAGTATTTATTATAATGTAAAAGGGTTCAAAAATTTAAAAAGTCTTATTAGAAAAAAAAATTATAACAATAGATTCTTAGTAAGTCTTGGAAAAATTATCTTAGTTGATTTAATATTTTTATTTACTGTTGAGTATTAATGTTTCATTATTGAAACCAATGTCTATATTAGCCTCCTATCTACATGTATTACTTCTAAAAAACCTATAAATATTAGTAGATAGCAGAACCGTGAAAAAGAACAATATAACTTTTTAGTTATTTATGTAAAAATTAAAGGTATTAATTGATTTAAATTAATTTTTTACCATATAAAATCACAAAGGTAGAAAAAAAGAAGTAGCTTTGATTTTATTTCATTATTACAAAATTATTATGAGAATTATTAAATTTTATATAGAATTAGTTAGAAATTATTAAAGTAATTTTTAAGACTTTAATAAAAATAATTTTTACCACTTTGGGAGGCCATCATGAAAAGGCTTTATGAGATTCCAAGGCCAATCTAACACTTTTAAACACCAAGGTGAAGTCAAAAATATAAAATATTAACTAAATTAATAATAAATAGAATGATTAAAAACTACTATAGCCCTTATAGGAATGAAGGTGCACAAGTATCATATGCATTGTAGCATCTTGAATGTAAGTAGGATGATAAGACTAAGGCCTCAAGGTCTCTTTAGAACATCTTTATATACTACTTGTGAGCCTTTTACATTAAAATTTAGTCTTAAAAGAAAAAATATTAATTAAAATTAACCTAATAGATATTAAGATAAGCAAAATAAATTAAGAAAATTTCATAAGACCTTGTTTAAATGTTTAACATTTTATTAAATTAAGATGATAGAATATTAATTGAAAAAAATATTTATATTTTTACCATATAATTATATTACAATATAGTATTTCTAAATTTAGCTTATATATATGTATAGTTTATTTCATGACCATCTATAGGAATAAATTTAGAATAAATGGTTATATTTTTTATTGCTTTGGCAGCAAGGTGGAGGCAAAATCCTTATCTTAACAAACCTTTTATTTTAAAAAATAAAATAAAATAAAATAAAAAAGTGCTAGAAATATTAGAGTGGTTCTATTATGTGATAAGTACAATTCTTTTTTTCTTAAATATCTTGAGGCCAAATTGGAACAAAGCTCAAATTTTAATAAAATCTACAACTTCATCTATTAATCTAACCCAAATAATTTTTAACATTATATCTTCCTTGGACTACTCTTACCTTTGAACTACCAAAGAGTATTGACATTCTTTGGTGAAAGGTTACCAAATGAAGTTAACAGACCAGTACAAATTCTTTGTTTTGATAAACATAGAATTAAAAAAATTAAAAATACAATCATCCTCCCAATTCTAAGTCTAGGGACTTGTGACATTTAGAAAGAAACACAACATAATTTCTACTGTAGAATTTATTTCATGACATCAACATATGATTCGATTATGGAAACAGGCAGTTTCCCTTGCAATACTACTTTAATATATAAGATGTAAGTGGCTGCTAGTGACAGATTCGGTAACACATGCAAACTCCAGTGTACTCTCGAAACCTGGTACTTCTCCTGTTTCGAAGAGAAAAGCAGCAGACATTGCCTTGTATGCTAATGTTTTCGTGCAGGGAGTTGCCATGCAGGACAGGGACTATCTGTGAACAGTTCTGAGTGATCTCTTGCTTGTGTCACCTCTTGGTTTCTATCTCATTATTGTGAATCAACTCGGTAGTGACCCTGGTTGGTAACGAAGTACGTTTCTACGAGCTCAGCACCCGATTCGGATCTCTACTAGATGGCTCAGCGAGTGCAGACATATTCCACGAATTTGTCTTTGTCCGCAGCGGAAATGCAGCGAAATGTTGCTGCTGACTCTGGATCCGACGTGCATGCAACCAGACGATGCTGGGAGTATTTCACATTAATGGACACGATCGAGGATCAGCAGGCTTTTCTGATCAAGGAAGCGGTACCATGCAAACAAACTCGCACAGCACAAAATAAATGACGTACAGTAGCTTTTGTTCTTTAGAATCGCGTCAGTCAACATGGACGCAAGGAACGTGTGGTTGCTCACATGCAACTCATATTGATTTGTTTCTACCACCTCACTTGCAGAGCCACCGATATCTAACATCGATATCTGCCTTCACAGCCCACTTGTCTGTCGCTCATTGAAATCTGGATCCTGCAATCACATACGGCACTCTCCCCTATCATCGGGCATGTGTTGCTTGTTTGGTATTTTATTCTCCAGCGATGTCAAAAAAAGTTGACTTGCCATTTTGTCATTAAAATGGAAAGATTCTACGATTGCAAAGCAGGCGCTGGGATCCAGTAAGCTAAACTTGAGTGTCACAGACAGTCGGAAGAACCGAGTTAAATGGTTGTGAGGAGGAATGATACCATAGAATCTCGGAATCCCTCCGAGCACCAAAAGTTATTGTTGGTAATCCAAAACATATCAAACTCTGGAAGCGTGAAATTTGGTGATATCTCTTCGTGATATGCACAACATGTTTACCGTATTAGATAAGTATGAACCAGATTCAGTGCATGACCTTAAACAAAGATCTTATGGCCTCTTTAAAAAACTATTTCTTTGGATCAATACGGTTCAAATGTTAGGTCTACCTAACAAGAGTGATGGTACTTTTTTCTTTTTTTTTTTGGTTATATTGCGACTTTGGCAGAAATTGGTATCAAAGTTGATTCATCTAAAATTTAGAATTATAAAGAATCTACTTAAGAAAATAATATATAGTTTCTAAGGTTTAGGTTAGATTATATATTGTAGTAGGGGGTAGAGCTTGCCATTCAAAAATATTGGATGTTTTATTTCATATTGCTAATTTTATGAAAGCTTTTAAAATAAGATAAAAAGATAAATCTTATATTATTGCTTTCTTTTAAAATAAAAATATAAGAATATAAGATAGAATTATGATCTTAATTATTTTTTAACAAATTTAAAAATCAATTGAGTTAAGACTAAGTACATAGAGCAAAACCAAATATCAAAAGGAAAAGAAGAAGAAAAAATAAAATAAAATAAAATAACTAAAAATAACTAAAAATAACAATAAATAAAAACAAAGTCTAAAATTACCAAGGATAGAACTCCAAACTACCTAGAAGTGAGCTCCACCTTATGACAACATGCAATCTAATGCAGACCTTTTAGTTTTTTAAAAGCAAAGAACTCACTAAAATATATGAGAAGGAATATTTTTATTTTAGAATATAAAGTTAACAAGTTCTATTAATTGTAAATGATTTTTTTTCCAAGTATCAATTCATATATTCTTATTCTAAATTATCTCATTAATATTGTTTAAGATAAAAATTTAGACTTCTAAAGGTTATAAAAGCCTTTGTTGTAATTTTAATTAAACTTCAATATTAAAAAAATATTTAATAACTATATTTTTTATATTATTTTGTCCCTTAGAGTATATAATAGAAGTAATAAAACTTGATGATACTTTTGGATTTAAATAAGAAATAATCATTGGAGAATGCTAAAGAAGTTTTTTAAAAATCAAATATTAAAAATGTTAGGTATATGGTGGAATGATTTTTAGAAAAAATCTAAAAGTACCTACCAAAATTTTAAAAACAAAAAACAAAGAAATAGAATAAAAAATTTATATCATTAGAATATATTATTATCTAATGATATATATTTTATTTTATTATAAATCGTTATTTTATTTTATATATTTTTTAAATGATCTAGCATATATTTACTTCACTCTCTAGACTGCATTACAAAGTTGTGATATGATTCACATTTCAACCCATAGTTGAAACAGTTCAGTCTGGTTGAAGAAAGCACAAGCTGATGATACAAAGTGTCATACGATCAAAACCCATCTACTGTATGAATTAAACGAATGCTACCGATATAGTTTTGCCACATATTCACGTAGTTGATGTCGGTTGAAACAAGTCAACTGTTTATTGTATGTAATAGGAAGAGAGATATTCTACCGAATGTGACAAACTTGAGAATACAGAATGTGGCATTGGGCCTCAAATCTGCATTTTGAGATACGCATATTGAGAATATGTCGAGGATAAGTAAAGAAACCGCAAGTATCGATAATGCTGATCAATCGGCACCGCTAATATCAAGGATTCGACGTCATCGCATGACCTGGAAAGCAGTAGACATTGTCGTGTGGAGGTCAATCCTTATGAGAAAACAATCCAATGTGATATGTTCGACTGGAAGAAAAAAATTGTTATAAAATAATGCGAGGAAAGTGTCGTTACCATACAGAGATCTCATAACAATATTGCATTCCTGGCAGATCATAAGGTCTACCTACAACTCCCTACCGATCCGACATCTGCTTACCGACTCTAGACAGTATAAAATTCGGGCTTGTACTACAAAAATTTCTAGGCTGGATTCTGATTATCATTTCGTGACGCCCCGTATGCCCGGCGGATGCATTTAAATGACTGTTGGTGGACGTCGGTAAGGGATGTCGAGAACTACGTGGTGCTCAGATGGCGGACAGTTTAAAAAGCAAACGCACGTGCACTGTGCTCTCATCATGAAGCTTCAGACAAGCAGAAAGTTTCGATGTAAGTCTAACAAGGTGTGCACCACCGTTGAAAATAATTAGACATGCTTTGGACCAGAGCGGAGTCTTATCGACCTTGTCAACTTGTAACACACAAGCTAAATTAACAAACTTACTGTTAATCTGTCGTTTGGGAACAAACATGGTCGGCTGCGGTGTACCACTACGCTTCAATTTCCCACTTGAGAACGTTGAATATTATTCTTCTGAACAATCATTGTGAGCCGTAGTGGATGAGTTTGTTAGGTTAAATTGCTTCGTAACGTCATCTGCGATGTGGGCAGATGTTGAGTAGCCCGCAATGCTGCAATGACACTGGACTCGGAACTGCAGACGAGGCGTCCATCCATCCACCACGAGTTGGTGCCGAAGCGAGAAAAGAACAGTTAAATAGGTAAACGGTCCTCCATGCCGCACAATATAGCCTTCAAAGTGGCTGCCGATTTCGTTTCTAGAATACCACCAGCCCCTCGTGTCAAGTCAACGGCCGAAAGAACTCATCCAACTTCAAGCTTGTTGTGCGAACATCCTGAATATATTTCCTTGCAGACAACCCTGACTAGATTGTAAAAAAATTGGGTTTTCAAGTTCAATTGCACATTCGTAGATGGTCAAATAGCAGCAGGTGGAGCAGAAAATCTACACTGAAACATCAACCTGTTGAATCATCAGCTTTCACCCATTAAGTGGGCCCGAACCGACAATCAGAAGTGCCAGTGCTGAACCAGCTTTCTCCTGTCTCCCCACCGTCCAACAAGCCCCTCTCAGTCCAGCTAAGTTTTCCAATGGTAAAAGGAATGAAATTCATAATGTCATGCTCCGATGACCTGTGTCCTGATCGATCCACGAGCCATCCAATTGCAGTAATGTTTAAAGATTGAAGGCTGGGAACTCCATCGCCGCAGCAACTCATCCGACGCGGATTGCACCGCAAAAAGGTATTTCGGGGGTAGTATTCAGGTGAGGTAGATACAGATATATCGCACGTCCCACCAATACCACCAACACGGATCTATCTGTGCTTGCATAGACCTATTTGTTAGGATTAACATGCTCGTGATTTTCCGGCACTACGAGCCTCCAAGCGGTGCCTCCACAAGGTGAAGGCTCGTAGTGCCGGTCAGTGCCGCGTTCCAGGCCTTCTTCCACTGCATTGGCGGGCCCCGCTTCACAGTCTCGACATTCGGTGATCTGTTGCTTCTCAATCGTTGTTGGTAATAGAAAAATCCTGAAAAACGAAGCATATTCCCCTGTCGGAAAGCGTGCTACGGTACCCACTACGAATGAATAAATGGATGGATGGATGGGAGAATAAATGAATGAATGAATCACGTATTGGGAAGCAACAGAATCCCAGTGAAGGGGTTATTAGGGCGGTCATAGGGCATTAATATTAATATTAAAATTATTATTGTTATGAATAAGTAGAGTGACGTGCAATTTTTTCTCAAGAAAACAGGAAGCAATATTTTAATGTATAGAATCCTATTTATTATATGAGATACTATTGTTCTCTTTTTCTGTTTAAACGTAGGGGATGTTCCTTATTGCTAAGCTTTTTGATAAGTAAAGGTTTAAATTCAGAAAGCCTGAGAACCTCAAAAACAAAATCAAACCAAACCAAACAAACAAACAACCAAGTTCCAACTATTAGTAACAATAATGTCTTTATGTTGTTTAATTGAGATAATTTCCCCTAAAGATAACTTGTGAAAGACTTAAGTTCTTTTAAAAGTCACTATTGGCGAAATTGATAAATTGATAATAGGTGCTTTTGTCATATTTTCATAAATTTTGGACAATTGGGTGCTATTAAAAGCAATAAAATATTATATTTGTAATTCTATCGACACAAAAATTTCTCATGTTTCTTAAATCTCTTATGATTTGTTGTTTTAAAGTATTAATTGCTCTAAAATAGTTTCACATAAGTCAATTTAATATGTAGAAATTTATTAGCAGAAATATTATTATAAATTTTATAAATTTAATCAAAATATAAGAATTTAGAATTCTACTTTATTATATTATACATGCAAGAATAAGTAGAATACTTTTAATAAGTAGAATTTGTGTTGTTTCAGTATTGTCTTTCCATAGGTTGATTTGTCCATTCTAAAGAAAATCCATAAATTTAAAATTTAGTGATTTAATTAGACCAAAGATGATCCATAAGATGATAAGAATACAAATCTATTTATTTAAAGATAATATTTCTATGTGAAACCAAGAAAAAATAAAAATAATATATATATATATATATATATATATATATATAAAGCAAAAAGATAAAGAACATATATTTTTTAAATACATATCTTTCCTATGTTGGTACCAAATGTCAAATAAAACATTAAAAAATCTTTTTTCATATTGATTATCTAAAATTAAAATAGTTTTAAGAAATATTTCTAAACATGATTGTTTGTTGGATCTTTTCTACAAGTCTCTTTTTGATTGTTTGTCTATGTATTCTTGAAGTGCCACTATAGTTAAAAAGAAGTACAAATCTTATTTTCTATTTTTAATTTAGTGAGGTTTTTTCCAAGCCCTTATCTTCTCAAAGGTGGATAAAGAAGGCTCTTTCTTCTCAAAGGTGGATAAAGAAGGCTCTTTCTTTTCATTGTTATTCATTAACAAACTTTTATTATGTCTAATTGTATATTATTTTTATATAAATCTTCTAGTAGTCAAAGCCATGTCAACAATGTTTTGATGTGTATATAGAATTAGGCTTGCTTTGATTTATATTGTAGATATTTTAGTTATATATAATTAAATTTTATGTGTCAAATTTTTTGTTATACTACAAAGTATTGGAATTATTAGAAAATAGGTGCCATTAAGTTGGATTTTTAAGTTCTTAGATGTTGAATGTTTTTTTGTCTTAACACTCCTTGGTCTATGCCATGTCTTATGAATTTTGTTTGATATTCATCTTTGTTATGCTTTTAAAAAAATAGATAATATTTAACTATCCTTTGGATTCAAAATTTCTTGTTTATTAGACTCTTAACCAAGATTTTTGTTGTTTCACACTTCATTTTTTTTTTCATTTATTTGTATTCCTATCTCAATATATTTTATTAACTGTATAATCTTATTTGGTATATTTTCATAATATATTATTTAATATTTTCTTTGCTTAAGTTTGTATTCTAATTTTGAAGATTACTTTGTTGATTAAGATATCTATTATTAATAAGTATAAAATCATATGAAATCATAGAATATTATTCTATATTGTTGCTTTAAATTTATAAATAAAGTATTTCCATCACATGTCCTATTTTCTATAATTTAATTTTTATCATTTTAAATGAATTTAAGTATTTAATATTACTTTTTAAGATATATTTATATTTATATATTTATACATGTTTAATCTAATCATTTATTTTAAAATTATATAAAATTAGATAAGGTGAGTGCCATAAGAAAAATCTTTCAATAAAATGTATGATTTATTTAAATAATCAATTTGAATTTTTGTATAATTTTCGAGTTCATATGAATCTCAATTACAAAAGGAATTGTTTAATTTAAGCTGCTTATTATATAAAAATAATTTAAATATTTGTATTTTAAACAACTATAAGTTTTAAAATTTGGCTATTGAAATAATTAATATTGTAAAAAGGTCTCATTTGTTGTATTTTTATAATTATTGGTTCATTAAAGTAAAAATAATTAAATGTTGAATAGGTAAATAGTTTTTATAATTATAGAATTTTGACCAAGTATTTGATCAAAAGTATAATTTTTTGATAAATACGTGTTTTAGAAATAGTGAATTAATTTTTTTTGAATGCTTCTAAACATTATAATATTTTATTCAAAATCATTAATTAAATGTCGATGTGAGATATTAAACATGTCATCACTTATAAAACAAAAGAAAAACATATATATATATATATATATATACGATAATTTTATCGATATTTATAACATATACACACACACACACACATATATATATATATATATATATATAGTTAAAGATACCAATCAAAGATACCAACCAGATAATCCCATCTAAAAGTAGAAGCATCGAAGCATATCCTTTCATTTGATAATGTTACGTGTTCTGGTAGAAAAGATGTTTTTTCTAGTCCAAAATTGGTCAAACCTAAAAATAACGTTGTCTCGTGTACAGGTTCATAAAAAATCCAACATAATTTACCAAATTAATAATTAAATATCTTTAAAAGAGAATTAAGTATCATACCATTGTGCAATTCCAAGTTAATATAGATTTGTTTTAATATGTATATATATATATATATATATGTGTGTGTGTGTGTGTCTATTCTTTACTGTTATTGATAATAGATTCGCATATTAATGCTGAAAGATTACAATACTGGATTCTCATGACCAATCATTAATTAATTCATTGAATGATTTGAATAAACACCCATGCATAGAAAAATTATTCAATTGCAAGATATGTTATTTGATTTGGGTACTTTCTCTATATAACACAACATTCCATACTTCAATAAAGATTATTCCAATGCAATTCATTAAGAATTTGTAGAAGCTGCTTAAACATGTCATCAAATCCATGTACTTTAAAAATCTTAACAAGTTAAATGTTCTCATGAAGAAATGATACAATTATAAGTCTTTTGATTTACAAAAATAAATCGATCATTCCATTAAAAAGTAATTTTAAAGTGATGCAAGAATCCACAGGTCTACCAATATAAAATAGTGATAATGGTGACTATTTTTCATATAAATAATCAAGTTACCATTATTTTAGCAAGATTTTTTTTGGCATGCCATTTCCAGAAAAAGACTAAGGAACCGTGGACATTGGCATGAAGTCACACTATTTTGAGTAACACTATTTTAAAAGTCAAAGTCCAAGCTTAGTGTAGAATCTAGGGATCGGCTTCGTCACCAAAATATCAAAGTTCCCCGAGTTCCCTTGATGAGACGGGAACAGTTCCCAAGGGCAATTTCAATGTACATTGAACACCCTTCTGTTAACTGTGTGTGTGTTTTTGTTTTGTTTTGTTTTGTTTTTTCTCTTCTAGTTTTAGGGTAAGCTTTCGCCCTTCTTACATCTTTCACGATTTCTTAATTTTTTCTAATTATTTCTAATTACTCATGGTTTATATTTTCATAGTTCAAATAATTAACAGAATGAATTTTTTTAAAGGTAGCGGCAGAAACAACCCAGGTTGCCTCCCCTGATCTCGAATTAGAGAAGGCCTAACATTATCGAACTAGGCTACTTGCGTTTGTTTCATGGTGCTTTCGTCGGACTCTCGGTGCTCGCAGCTTGCTAGCCAGCTTCTTCCCTCTTTCCTTGCAATTTATTGTCCTTTTTTATGCAGAACACAGTGAATAGGAATTTCATAGACTTGGTCGGTGGACTTCGCAGTCGCTACAACTACTAATGTCGCCATTCCTCACCAGCAGATCAACATCTGTTGCTATGAGATTGATCGTTTTCGTGCGCCGTTACAACAGATTGTTCTGTCATTAATCCTCCGTGACATGCTCTCGCAATCTTTGAAGCGCATTACTTCGTCGCGAGCAAGTTAAGACCAGTGTTGACTTCGAGAATGGAAATTGCAACTTGAGCAGAGGGTGCATAAGATTAGTTGTAATTGTATCGTTGAATGTGCTGAGAGTGCACTTGATATACCTTCTTGCCTCAGCTGTACACAATCGATCCAAATAGCCTGACGTTTCGAAAGAATTGCACGGAAGTATTTTGAGTGCCGTCTTTGATTAGTTGCTATCTGTTAGTAAATTCGTCGACTGTACCGTTGGAAGCACGCTTTCCTGAGATTTAAAAATGGCTAATGCCTTGCCCCGGTGAATGCGGCGGTGGTCTCACACGATTGAGTTCAGGTGCGTAGAGTGCGTTCTCCGCTGAATCGCCGTAGTTTGTGTTGCTCTGTTACATTCTCTCTACATTCTTGGCCTCTCGGGGTGTTTTGTTTTGTACTGTGAATATGTGAACTGTGAGAAGAGAATGCATTGTTAGAATCGATTGAGTCTCAGTTTGCGCTTTGCACGAGGCCACAGTCACCTACCTGTGTAGTAGGGATGACGGACTCTCGCGAAGCAAAATGGAAATTTAATTAATAATAGATCTCTGAACACATTCTATAACCAAGAAGTTTCGATGTTTCTGAGTTGGACATGTATAGCTGCCCGGAATGTCTCAGTCCTGCGTGATTGAAGATTGTTCGATCATTAAAAACAGCCTACATTTTTATCACTTCGTGAACATTTGTTATTCCTGTTACGAGATTATATCGATATTTTAGTTATGGCAGGCTTCGTGGAAATTGCTCGAGATTTTTTTTCTTGTAGGAAACTGTGTAAAAGTTCAGGATTCCTTCCATCACAACTACAAAACTCTGGGGCTTCGGTCTGGCTCTGTTCGAACCATCTTAAGCTGTTCTGGACGGATTGATATTCGGAGATAGCGAAGACAATAATCGTGAGACATGATGTAGTTGAGGATCATTCTAAACTTCCAATGCGAGCAAGAAACATATAATTTAACTCGTGCCTCACTCATATGTTCCGAAATTTGAATTTTTAAAGTCCGACTTTGATTATGTTTTCAAGGGGTTCGGGAGGTTCGCATATTTTCAGAAACGTCGTGAGATGAATGGAAGGATAGAGCTTAGTTTTCCATCCGTTTCAGTTAAGGAGAGGGAAGAGCTCTGAGCATAGTATCTCTAACTGTTAGTGGCTACCTCTTTCTGGTATTTCTGGACGAATATTTCTCTTGGTGTTGTGGTAATCCGAATCGTCAATACCCTACGGCGATACGCTTCATACGAAGAGCAAGTCTTTGTCCTTAATAGTTAAGATCTGTTGGAGCCATAAGCCGAACGAGTGTAGAATGTCTGGGAAAAGTAAACTGCAGATGTAGTTGCTTGCAAACGCAAACAGTCTTTCAGCAGCACCATCGAGAAACTCCTCTTTCTCTACCGTCCGCTCCCTCTCTCCCTATTAGAATATTAATTTGAATTCTTTTACCATTTACCGATTTAATTGCAAGCTTCAAAAACTAATTATGCTAAGTGGTCCTGACGCGACGTGTATGCTACATATTTAAACGTTCTCTCTTTTACGTTTCCTTCGATTCGTGTAAACACTACAAACGGTGAACAAATTACTCTATGCACGCTCAGCTTAACAGCATTATCATATATAGAGCTCCCCTCACCCTTTTCTTGAGGCATGATTGAGAAGTTGTGTAATATAATTGCAGCACTTGTCTTTGAATGCAGTTCGGAAATCAACAACACCAAGCTAGCATCTCGATTTGTTTATTGAGGTGTGTGGTGCGACATTATTTCTGAATGACTGGGACGTTCTCCTTTTTCTTCCTCAAATCGAGGAATATCCGGTAGCTATTCATCTTTGAGCTTTCGACTGCTCTCTTCTTGGTGCAAAGAAGGTTGTTCACTGCGAATCTTCACATTTCGTGCCATGGCACCCCTTCTGAAATCGAACGTGATATCATTTATGCCTGAGGTCATGCCATGCAAATCTCGGATGTGGCCTTTAACGTATCCACGTTTTGAAAGGGATGAGACGTGCATAGAAAGTATGCATGGCCATAAGATTCCCGATCCATATCGACCGTAAGTCCCTTACTCCTAATTAGTTTGGATGCTCGTTACAAGTATTGCTGTATATAGACTTGGTTAGCAATTTTAATGAATGCATGTCAAACCAGAACTCCCACATCTGCTATAATTTCTAGCGTTTTAAATGGCAAGTCAAAAACCTGTGATGGACTCTCCAGTAGCAAACCATTCATCTATCCGCTGTTTCCTAATTAGGTGTCCAACCTTAGATTTTGAATACTTGTTGCACAATAATATTCTAAAATGATCTGAGCAGATTGGAAGTTCCGAAAGCCAGGGCAACGCAAGAATTTATAGCTAGCCAAGTGGAATTGACCAAGTCTGTGCTGTCGACATGTGACACGAAAGAGAAGCTAAGAGAACGGATTACCGCTGTCTATGATTATCCCAAATCTTCATGCCCCTACAGGCGAGGGAACAAATGTTTTTACTCTCATAATAGTGGATTGCAAGCTCAAAGCGTACTCTACATGCAGGTAGAATCTTGGCCGAGCTAGGGATTGTATATTTTTGTGGACCATACGTACTCCTTGGATGCTTTGCAATTACAACTGTCTTTGTCCGTGGCAATGTAAGCTTTCACTCTTGTACTCCCAAAGATAGCTCCAAGTGTACATACGATAACAAGAACGGCGCGTTAAAACTATACGATCGAGCGTTCTCATTTTGAATACTCTTCTATGCATCAGCAAATTATTGAAGCTGTCAAGCATGAGTTTTGTAATTTATTGCTCATTCAAACATTAGTATCATTCAAAGGATCCTCTAAAAAACAATGAAATTGGTAACCAATGAACTAAAACACTATGTCTGACAGTCCGTAACATAGTGCTTTTACGAATCAAAGTCTCAATCTAACAATCGATTCGTCTTTTTTGCTTGTCCACAGGATAGTTTAGACGGGGAGGCCGAAGTGTTGCTGGACCCAAATACTTGGAGTGAGGATGGCACCAAATCCTTGGAAATCATGAAATTCAGTAGTAATGCTGAATATCTGGCCTATGGACAGAGCTCTAGTGGGAGTGACTGGATCACCATCAAAGTAATTCATGTGGCAGACAAAATCACGCTCGATGACACCCTTTCATGGGTGAGATACTCTACACATTAGTTGGTGCTGTTGGAATCCAAATCGATCACCCGAATTCGTGCATTAGTTCTGGAAAATGTTCCAACATTTATTTCTGTTGTTCTGGAATAAGTGCCGTTTGAAATTATTGTTCCTTTTCTCTTTCCCAAAGTCCGATTCTTATTCCATTGTGCACCATTGAAAAATCTTCGAACCGTTATGAATTATCAGTATTATTGTGGTCGTCTCATTGTCGCTGGGCAGATGAATGCAGAATTTAGCTCCGATATTAGTGATAAAATATAGTCTGGTATCCCAATACTCCCTGTGGCTGTGCAGGTGAAGTTCTCATCCTTGGCGTGGACGCATGACAACAGAGGCTTCTTCTACAACCGTTATCCAAAACCTACGTCAGTTCTTGTGTCTCCGGTGCTGAAGTTGTGCTATAGGGAGATTGAGTTTATGACACTTTTTTAGGAATTTTTCCCAGCCCTTCAGATCTTATGATGTTCCTCTACCCGACTAAGATGACATGTTACATGACAGTATGAACGAGATTGAAGACGAAGGCACTGAGACAGATTCAAACCTCTTCCAAGAATTACGTTATCACTTTCTGGGAACTGACCAAAGTCAAGATATACTGTGTTGGAGAGATTCTGAACATGCTCAATGGTTTTCTCGTGCAGAGATTACTGACGATGGCCAGGTAATTTCGTATAAACTTGTGCTTGAGAAATCAATATACACACACCTTTCTCTTGCTCTTGACTAGAATCTACATACCAGTGGAAAATGTATTTTGAATTTACTATTATCCTTCTATTATTGTCACTATCCACCCTTTTGTAATACAAGAGATACTCAGGTTTCAAAGAGGTAACCGTGGCAATACATTTTCTTCTGGAAAAAGAATTTTACATCTGGTTGTATGGTTCCAGTACTTGGTGTTATCCATTGAAGAGAGTTGTGACCCAGTCAACAGACTATACTACTGCAATCTTTCCACTTTGCCTCAAGGACTGGAAGGGCTGAGACAAAACAAGGAACATCTTCCTATGATAAAACTGATTGATAACTTCGATGCTCAGTATGAGCTGGTTGCTAATGAAGGATCACTTTTCACCTTCTTAACCAACAAGGATGCACCCAAGAATAAATTGACAAGGGTTAGTCTTGATGATCCATCTTCTTGGAAGGATGTGGTACCAGAATCGGAAAGTGATGTCCTTACATCAGCTGACCTGGTTAATAGACAGCAGTTAGTCTTATGCTATATGAGTGATGTAAAACATCTGCTTCAGTTGAATGACCTTCAAAGCGGTCATTTGCTTCAGAAATTACCTCTTGAAATTGGCTCAATATGCGAAATTTCAAGTAGACCAGAAGATGCTGATTTCTTCTACAGTTTCACAAGCTTTCTCACCCCTGGAATTATCTACCGATGCGATTTGAGTTCTGGAACTCCTGATTTATCAGTGCTGAAGGAGACTAAAATTGCCAATTGGGATAGATCATTGTTTGAGATTCGCCAGGTACAAATTTATGCTTCTATTCTGATATTCCTCTCTCTGTAACTTTCGTATGCTTGCTGTTTTTTCTAACTATTTTCCTATTCAAAAATGACCTATACTATTATTGCCCAACCTCTCAACTTTGACATTTGGATTCTTATCCTTCAAATTCTCCTTATTGGAGTACTTTTAAAAATAAAACTCTCTCAGCTAAAGACCAGAAATTCTGGATTGCGGTTTCTTACATAATGCAAAATATGCAGGAATTTGCGACAAGCAAGGATGAGACTAGAGTGCCTATGTTTGTGGTTGCGAAAAAAGGTCTGGTCCGAAACGGAGATCATCCAGCTGTACTCTATGGGTATGGAGGCTTCAACGTCAGTCTGATGCCATATTTCAGTGTGTCTCGGCTGGTGTTAGTCCAGCATTATGGAGCAGTAGTTGCAACTGCAAATACCAGGGGTGGAGGAGAATATGGAGAGAAGTGGCACAAGGCTGGTGCTCTAGCAAATAAACAAAACTGTTTCGATGATTTCATTGCATGTGGCGAACACTTGATAAAAGAAGGATATACGCAAAATAAAAAGTTGTGCATTGAAGGTGGGAGTAATGGAGGTTTGCTGGTGGCTGTCTGCATCAATCAGGTGCTTACTGTTAACACCTCTGTTTTAGGGCCTCTACAAAGAAGATTTATTATTTGATATTTCTAGCTTAATCTTACTCGGTAACATGCTGATCCAGTTACTCATCCATTCGATTTCTCGCACTATATTTATGATTTTCAGTCTTATCTGTTCTCCTCCATCATCTTTGCAGAGACCGGATTTGTTTGGGTGTGCTTTGGCCCATGTGGGTGTAATGGATATGCTCCGATTTCAAAAATTTACTATTGGTAAAGCCATTGTAGTGGTTGCCTTTTTTTTCATTTATATTGTATTAGATTTCTATTTCTTATAGATCTTAGTATATTTCTGTTTTTGAAGGTTTCTGTTTCTGAATGCGTGAGAGCTTTCAATGATGCAAAAGTTTATATTCATTGGTCAGGTCATGCGTGGATTTCAGATTATGGTTGTGCTGATATTGCAGAGGAATTCGACTGGCTGATCAAGTAAGCATCCTTTTGCGTATTACAAGCATTTCATATCGTATTTTAAGTACCAGTTTCAAATCCTTTACGAAAAAATCAATTTCTAAGCAAACTTAATCTTCAAGTCAAGTGCATATTTTGTGTGGACTTAGTGAGAACATGAAGTAATCGAGCTGAGTCTACGGTTTTGGTTCTACTTCATGTTGGTCATGTGTCTTCTTTTGTGTAGGTATAGCCCATTGCATAATGTGAAAAGACCATGGGAAAATGGTACCAAGTCTATTCAGTATCCCGCTACCATGCTTTTTACAGCAGATCACGATGACCGAGTTGTTCCCTCACATTCATTGAAGCTTCTCGCTGTATGCACGCTTAAAACCTTCTGATTTCTTCTTTATTGAATACTCTGAAGGATTTATTTGGCCCTTTCAGAAAAATCTTTTCTTCTCCTCATCAGCTATTCATTGTTGTGGGCGGACAGACATTGCAGTATGAACTTTGCACGAGTTTGGACAACAGCCAGCAGACAAATCCAATAATAGGAAGGATTGAAACAAAAGCTGGTCATGGATCTGGTCGCCCAACCATGAAAATTGTAAGTCTCAAATATGGTTTCTATTTCTTGATACCTCGACTTGCATCATTTTATTTTCACTGTACAAAAATACTTCATATTGGATAGGGTTCTCTAGATCAACCTACTGAGTGCAATGAAAATTAATTTAAATTATCATAGATTGGATGGTTAACTTTTTATTCAAGTTATTATCTTGCTGAAGACATCTCCCTTGATGTGCAGATAGATGAAATGGTGGATGCCTACTCGTTTTTTGCAAAAATGACGGATTCTGCTTGGATTGAATGACACAATTGATGTATATAGCCACTGAACACTCACACCAATCTCTTGTATGACTTCTACGATTTTTGTAATATTATTATTCTTTACATTAATAAAGAATATATAAAAACAATACAATCATGTATATATATATATATATATATATATATTTAATTGAAAATTTAAAGAAGATAAACAATTTCTTTTCAAAGCTGAAAATAATTACAAATAATGAAGCTAATTGTGGTATTAAATTTACAAAAAAAATTGTAGTTTTTTCATGAATTAAAATAATGAATATTATTTATTACATCATTTTAAAAATAAAAATAAAAATAATGTATTTTTTTTAAAATCCATCTTGTAGATAATGATAGAATTGATTTTAAGAGTAGCTTCTATCAATATAGATTAGAACATTATTTGTAAAAAATTTGTATATATATTTTTAAGTAGTTTTTATTTATATGATATGGTGTTTATTTGTTTTTATATTTTTTTAGACTTAGTTGTGCAATAATACATATATATAATTATATATTTTTTTATAATATTTATTTATAACTATTCTTTATAATAATTAAATTAAATTTATTACTAATGAAAGTATTTTAAAAATGTATGTTTTTAAAAACATAATATTATATGTATCTAATCTTTTATTCAACTAAATATTACTCATGGTATAATGAAGTTTAATTGTCAAAAGAGGTTCTTACATGGTATTTTAAATTTTAATTATTAAGTATTTAATGAGGTTCTCAAAGGCCTATTAGCTATTTCTTTATAAAGTTGGTATAGAATTTTGTGCAATGTATAACCTAGTGTGATATCTATGATATGTATTACAAATTCTTATATTACTAAATTAATAATAATAAATAGAAATAAATTAGATAGATAGCATTCAAAATAATAATTAAATTAAGAAAACTTTGTGGATTTATGTTGGATTTATAAACATCCTCAGGCACATTGCTTCTAAAAGTTTTGTTTCTAACAAACTTCTATCAAAATATCCTATTATTAGAAAATTTGTCTTTAAACCTTTTATTTTTAAAAAATTTCTATATTAATTATATTTGACAATAATCACCATAATCATCTATATATATATATATATATATATATATATATATTCTTTTATAACTATACATGGATGTATTAACTTTTAATAAATTTAGCTAGATGTATATTTTTTCTAAAATATACACGTCAATAAAAGCTAATTTGTATAAGTTAGACTATTGATATCATTTGATTTTGTAATATATAATTCTAGATATTTTTTTACTCAAGAAAGAACTATTTCAAATATTTATTTCCTAATTGATTTTATTTTATTGTGCTTTGTATTAGCTCATTTTTATTTTTGGTCAATATTAATTCTTTTAAATTATATTCTAGTTGGATTTCTGTGATTAAAATTCGTACAATTTTGGAGTTGCATAAAATATCCTCTCATATGACCAATTTTTTCTTAGATGTTATTTTAATTTTAATTTTTCAAATAAAATATTAGAAATAAAACTTCATACAATGGTTGAGTTTCTATTTTTTATTTTAAAAAAACTATAAATTTTCCACTATTACAAAATTATTTCTAGACTGGAAGACATTTAAGAAAGAGTGTATTAATAATATTATCATTTTATAAAGTAAAATTTATTTATTTTAAGAATATATTTTTTATTTGTAAGAAAGTTATGAACAATTTTTGGTAGTCATCTTTTCTTTGAAGATATTTTCAAAGATGCACATTTATAAGGAAGATTCAATTCTAATTTATTTATTTATTAAATACAAGATAATTTTAAAATAAATTTTTATATATTAACTATTGCTATTCTATAAAAAATATATGTCATTTATATCTAAATATACTAATAATAATAATAATAATAATAATAATTTTTTTGCATTGAACATACATTATTCTTTGATAAAGTTTTTAAAATGTGTTTTTATTAAAAATAGAAGTCAAATGACATAATTATAAAAGAACTCAAATTTTATTAAATCAGAATTTTACTTAATTTCGTTTAATATTAATAAGATATTAGTAGAACTAAAATAATTATTTATATGTATAATTAAAAATACAAAAAAATTGATAGATGAAAAATAATTTTTAATACATTATTATATAACTTTGGTGATTAAATATCAATATTTTCATGAATAATAAATCATATTTGTTTACAATATAATTTTTTAATATTATAATAGCATTAAAAATTCAAATCACTAATCTTTAAATTTATTGTATATATATATATATATATATATATATATATATTTATCTTTCTATTAATTAATATCATTTTTTGCAAGAAACTTTATTAATCACCAAAGATCATTGATAATTGTTTGTTTGTGTGGTGCATTGTAGACAAGATAGAAATCATCCTTGCTAAGGCCCTAGATCATCCTCTACTTGCTTACATATCTCCAAACCTAGCTTTCTTTCTTTCTTCTTTACATTTTTTAATGCAAAATGATTAAGGGTGCAAATTCACTACCCTTACTTAATCAAGTAAATAATCCAATAATATTTTTGGTCCAAAACCGACAGGCCTCATCCCTTGCTCCCCAATAATATTATATATTTTATGAAGAAACAGCATATTCAGCCAATGAATTTGAGCTTCGGTGGAATACAACTAGAAGCATACACTCCGCCGAACATCGCCGCCTTCAGCAACTCAGTGTGTGCATGTCACCGAAACCTAGACAACACATGCCATGGTAGCACCCTCAATAGGACCAAAAGCAGCACCAGTAGACAGCTCTTCCTGCATCATGGAGGAGTGCCAAGTTGAGTGTCATGTTTGTGGAATCTACACAGCAAAAAAGCTGTGAATCTTAGGGAAAGACACTTTTGCAAGAGGTCCGTGGATTGTCTCAAGAGGCAGTCTGATCGATTTCAGATCATACACCTCATGTGGTCTAGCGTTCGTTTGTGCCGACTAAAACCTTGAGTGACTGGCAAGCGCGGCGAAGTCTCGAAGCAGCTGGAATTGCTCCAAGGACAAGACGGAGGAGCATCACTGCCATCACTACAAGTCAGATCGTGAGTCATGAAGAAATTCTTGCTGAATGCAATGAATCTTGATTAAGATGCCCGAAAGGCAGAAGCATACACAGAGAGGCTTGCCCGTATTTTGGCTAAGCAGGAGATAAGCCCCATTAGGCGGTAGGTGAGTGACACACAGAGCACCGTAAGAACTAGTTTGTCCCAAGTGACTGATCTTATCGCTAAGATGGGCAGCGTAAAGCAAGGGAGGCACGAGGACCTGTTTTTGTCCTCATTCTCCGACAAGTCAGTCCAATAAAATTTATGATCAGGGGCTTGCGCTGCAGCACTTGTCAGTATTGGAGGTGTCGCATTACCTGGGGTTGGGTGCGATTGGGGGCGCGGGCGACAGATCCTGCACCGGGCCCTATGGGCAGCGGATTGAATGGGTATCCATGCTCTCAGCGGTGGTGTGCTGGGGGACTGCCAGGTCGCTGCATGCTAATATAAAGTAGAAACTGCAATGTGCAGATTGGGACTTTGTGGGGCAGTTCTCTGCGGTCGCGGGTCTGAGGGTGCTTCTTTTAGCTTTTTCAGAGAGTTGGGGTTGTTGCCATGCGTTTTAGCGGGTTTCGCACGTCTCCGTAGATGGGTAACTGGCGCAAAAAAAAAGGCTCGTTGAAGAGCACGTAGGTGTTCGCTGACTTCTTCTTGTTGTCCATCTTTGCTTTTGTTTTGAAATAAGATTCGACCTTGGTCTGGTGCAACTGTGATGGATATACGAGGACGGCAAACTCTCGTCCGAAAGTTTAGATTTGTGTCCTCTTGTGTGAATGTTATCACAAACAAGGATATGAAATGAGGAAAAAAGGGTTCTGCTGGACAGACTCTGTTCCCAAGATATTCCACAACCAACTGCCTTTTGAGGTCCTCACATTGGGTTGGTATGGACGCTGAAAACTTTGTTGGATGAAGACAAGTTCCCACATCCAAGTTTGGCAAAGCAAGGAAACTACCCTCTAACTTGAGGCACTGTAAGAAATGCTAGGGTTCGAGCCTTGCATTCTACTTCCAATCTGGGCATTGACAGTACTTACCTACATATAACAGCTGAACTACCTCAGACACAAATGAGATCTACATCCTACTTCCCGTGGAGTTCAGTCCATGAACTCAGGACTTATACAAACGAAGTATAGTAATGGAGACAAAACCGATAGGAGATTCTGAATCAAGAGGAAGAGGTCTGCTTTGTGGATTATAAAAATAATGGAAGTGGGACATCTCCAATACTTCGGTAGAAATGAAGCTTATGCTAAGTAACGATACTAGATCTATGTATGGGAGCATGAGTACAGACAACATAGTTCACAAATCTAAACTTCCGGACAAGTTTGTTCCAGTTTGCTGGATAGATCAGAAGGGATGAAATGATTATGCAGAGGCTCCCAAAGAAGACGCAAGGTAGTTCAGCACCATCTTACTATATTCAAAGATTCGGAGACATCACTGAAGAACTACCGTAGACATTCTAACTGCAGATATACATGGGTTCGCGCAAATCAAACCCACATAGCTCACGTCGACACAGCTCGCTTGTGTACAATCACTGGAAACCCATTCAACATTTTAAAGACAAACGAAAGACATGTTCTAGGAGGATCCTCGAGCAGAGTAAACTTGAAGCAGTATACCAAACTCGACGCAACCAGCTTCATTTGGATAAGGGCCATTTCCTTGCCGAGGCATATGCGAGGACCAGCCTGGAAGGTTGCAAACTTGAAAGGACTCTCAGGTACAAAGACTCCATCCTTCAACCATCTCTCAGGCTTGAACTCATTGCAGTCAGGGCCCCAGTTGGCTTCCATTCGAGCCATGGCGTAAATATTGAAAGTGACGCGCTCACCTTTGAGTATGACGGTGCCATCAGGTAAGACGTCGTCTCGGACCGCATGCTTTGAATCCCATGGTACAGGCGGGAAAAGGCGGAGGGATTCGTGTAATGCAGCATGCAAGTAGTGCAATTTCTTCAATTGTTCGAAGGTAAATAATTGGCCCGGAGGTCGGGAAGATGGTAGAGAATCATCTTCCTGCGCTTGTAATTGCAGTTGCTCTTTGATTTCGTCGTAAATCTTAGCTTCTACGTGAGGATTGTGACCTAGGGCGTAGAAAAACCAGCTCAGCCCTAAGGAAGTCGTGTCACGACCAGCCAGGACAAAACTTATCACCATGTCTCGCAGGAAGATATCAGAGGCCTTCTGCTTCTCCTTTGCATCGCTCGCATCTAAGTTCAAATCACTGATGCATTTCCGCTCGAGATCAGATTGCACCAACACTTCACTGTTTGACGAGTCTGTGAAGAGCATGAACCTGGATAGAAGATCTTGACGAGCGTGACCTATGTCCCCGTGGTTCTCGTTGAATTCCTTCCGCCGTGCCTCAATTACTTCCTGTGCAAAATTGTGGACCACCGCCATTGACTCTTTCAACCCTCTCTCAATGCCGATATTGAAGAACTTGTAGAGCCTCAGCATGATTGGAAACGTTCGGAATCTAAGCAACGTGCACTCGTTGGCCTTGTCGAAAGCCTCCGCAAATTTCACGGGCGGGAGGGAAGGCTCCAGGCAATTTGGGTCCACACCAAAGCCCAATTGACATATATTGTCGAAAGAAAACCTCATCAAGAGGTCCTGCAAATCCACGACATTCCCATTTTCACTGAATTGGGAGAGAACGGGAACCAAGCGATTCTGTAGCTCTTTCTGCACACACTCGACACCAAATTCTCGCAAGGACCGGGAACTAAACTCATGGCTTGCAAGCTTCCGCTGTAATTTCCATAAATTACCGTCGGCGTTGAAGATACCCCTCCCTAAAAGATCAAACAGCACATCCCCCATCCTTTCGCCCTTGACGAAATTATCGAACTTCGTCTTCAGCACGTACTCAACATTTTCTACATTCGCGGTGCTGTACGCAGTATAGCCTGACTGCACATACCTAATTGTCAGTGTCGGAGATTTACGCAAAGTTTCGACTGAGAAATCAAGCAACCGGTGAGCATGCTGGATAGCGCTCGGCAGCGAACCCACAAAAGGATAGACTCTAGGCCCAATGTTTTTCCCGTATAAAGGATGATGCCACCAGATGAAGATCAAAGCGTTCACTGCGACGAAAAGAATCGTTGCCACAAAGGCTAGTGTGTGCTCTTCGGATTCCTCCCTAAGCAGCAGCGCCCACTTCTCGAATCTCCCCATTTCGGGGGACATGTAGTTCGGGTAAGACATATTGGAACCCTATTCCCTACCAACTCTCAGCACCGCCAACGATGTTCTTATCACGTTTACATCTACACCGATTGCGAAATTCTGCCGAGCGGTAAATTCGAAACAAGCCTTCCAATTTAAGATTCTGCGCGACACGTTCACCTCCCATCAACAATGCTCATCACTCACCTCACTTTCTCTTCTCTAAACTCCGCAAGCAAAAACACAGCCAGCAAAATGTAGATTCAAAAACCTAAATTCCGGTATTGATAGCGAAACCGACTCATCCCCAACTCGAATCCACTTGAATGAACCAATACACACAAAATAACGCAACCGCGGTGCACACAACCAGTCCCGCGCGGTTCCGCAAGCAACGACACAGCACTACATAAATCAACAACCACTGTCCATATCGATGGCTCGAGGACAAGCCAAAGTGGGTTCCCGTCCCCCCTTTAAAACAATCGATTGAGGGCGACACTGTGGGGTAGACTGAAAGTGGCACAAAGGAATTGCGGCGTTCGGAGGGATGCTTTGTAACGGAATGCCACGCACCAACGAGCCATGACGTCACATGGGCAAAGGAAGGTCTGAGAATGGATGCGCCGAAGCAACGACGAAGGCAAGCGAGTAAATACCATGTCCTCGCAACAAACCCTTCAAGCGGCACCAGTTGCATAGAATTAAGAACTCATTGCGTGGCCCACTTGATGGGGTTGCGAAAATCGGGATGCTGCTTCGGCACACGTGACGCCGTGTATTGTAGCTCACGACGTAGCCCTCGCGACCGGACGCGACGCAACGCACTACGAGCGACTCCCACCACGCCACGCAACGCGACGCGACGCGATGCGCCACGAGCCTTCAATTGGGATTCAATTAGGCATCACACTTTACCAACTACGCCTCTCGAAATAACATAAAACACACGTGAACAATCTCATCATCATGTATTGAAGATTGGTTTTTTTAAAAGTAAGGAATCCCGCTATTGTTTCGGCATGTTGTACACAAGGTGGGTTACGTTCTTCACTTTTCTTTTCTTTTCTTTACTTTTTTGGTAAAAAAGTTTATTTTAGTTTGTATAAGAGTGGTTGCTTTATCATCGGCAATGTGCTTGTTGTTGTGTTTTTATTTCTTTTATCGTAATATCATGGTAAGTGTTTTTTTACTTTTCATTTTATATTAATGATAGAAGAAATCAATCTATATGTATATTAATAGTAATTATTGTTTCTAATAGTAATTAATATATGTATATGTATATATATGTATATGTATATGTATATATATGTATATGTATATGTATATATATGTATATGTATATGTATATATATGTATATGTATATATGTATATGTATATGTATATATATGTATATGTATATGTATATGTATATATGTATATGTATATGTATATATATGTATATGTATATATATGTATATGTATATATGTATATGTATATATATGTATATGTATATATGTATATATATATATATATTAATTACTATTAGATAGAAGAGGGCTGCTTTTGAATTTAGCATACACTGATATTTACATTATTTTTTTATTTTATTTTTTATAATATCAGTAGTGCTAAAATAGGTTTTTTATCTACTTATTTAGCTACTTTTTTCAACAACTCCTAATGACAAAATGACAATAAAAAAAAGGGAAAAAAGATCATTATTTAGTATAAAAAATAGCATTTTCTTATCTTATTTTTAAACAAAGATTTATTTTGGCTATTTTGAATTTGTCATAACAATAATTTTTTTGATTTTTTTTTGGAATATGAATTTAATTAAATTTTTAACTTCTTACATATAATAAAATACACATTATCAATATTTATTTTAAATATAATTAAAATATTATAATTACCTTAGAAATACATATTAAAAGATTTCAACAAGACATGGTTCATTTCCTTTTATTTTTTAGGTCACACTCTTGTAGACAAAATCGTTTTATGAAAAAATAGAAGACTATTTATAAAAATTAGATATATATATATATATATATATATATATATATATATATATAATTTTACAATCAATCCATTTAGATACTATATATAGCAAACTTGAAGATTTTCTTTTTGCTACCACTTTTTTTTTTCTTGATTTTTTAAACAAATTTAAAAAATACATTTTATAACCATTTTATGGTTTAAACTATATATATATATATATATATATATATATAATCCTTCTGTTGACATATTGATTTGCAAAATGTTTAGATTATGATATTTTTGAGATTCCTAAAATAATAAAATAATCCTATCTAAAAATCTATACATTAGAAAATGGCAAAAAATAATAGAATCCAAATAAACAATACATGAATTTATATATATATATATATATATATATAGAGAGAGAGAGAGAGAGATATATATATATATATATATATATAACTTTATTGTTAAAAAACACATGTCAGAATAGATATCACAACTTCTACAACTTCTACCAGATATTCTATGCATGTCGTAGTGTAATTTGCAACCTAAGAGAAGATCTAAGTCTTTGGATATGTATTTCTAACAAGCACAAAAGAAACTTCTCGACACACAACTAAAACATTATTCTACACCATTTTGAATCTTTACTTTTTTATCATTTTGAGTGAATAAAAGAAAAATTTGACATTTACACAAGAATGATATAATACTATATATTCATATAGCAGAATAAAAAATTCAATCATATAAAATAAAAGAAAATAGCAGACATGTCTCAATTACTATAATTATTTACATTGATTATTGTAATTTTCTGCAATTCTTCACCTTTGGTAGTTTATGCATATGATTACTAATAATAATTTATTTGATTTCACATACGTTTTAGATAACAACTTGTTAAAAAAATGCCAAACCAATATACAGAAACAACATGTGTCCAACAATATATGCCAAAATAACTTACAATGAAATTACATTTAATAAAAAATAAATATCATAGTTGAAAATTCCAAAATAATTCAATATAAATATAAGTGGTTTATCATCTAAATTCAACTGTAGCCAAATGATTCATAATATTAAGGACTACAAGCTTTGTTATTTTAATACTAAAATGTTGTCAACAGAAATCAAATGTATTTAATATTCTTTTGCTTGAAATGATTTTTTTTTTTTGTAATTACATAAGCACATGGTGTCCTTCGTAATGAAATATACTATTATTCTTATAAATAGTTTTATATCATAAAAGCTTCTACAAATGCTTCTATTTGCATTGTATCGATGAAATCTTGAAGTATAACCATTTGTCTACCTAACAAAGCTTATGTCAGATCTCTAGCCTTAGCCACAAAGAGAAAAGGGTTGTTTATCAAAATTATTTGTAACACACATTATATAATTATTTTCTTAATAACCATGAAACCTTTGCCTTAATTGCAATTGCAAAAGATACATTTAGTTAAATTAAATAAAAAGAATCTAAATTGAGATCTTCTTGTCACTATAGCAATTGTATTTATACTCTCAACTTCTAATATTTAATTTTAAAAAAATGTTTCCTACAATTTAAGGAAAATTTCTGTAAAAATGTGTATAATAGTACATCCTAGTAACAACCCTCTCATGTTTGATAAAATGTGCCTAAAACTAAAAAAAATAAAATGCAATATAAATACCAATACTAAATCCAAATTCATGTTTTTACTTCTAAATTCTTGGTACACATATTTTGTAAAAAAGGACTTACCAAAAAAAATAATTAGTTGTTTAATATGCCAAATCTTGTAGCAAAGATAAAAAGAATAGGAATTAGCTAAAAAAAATTGATTCCATCATTCTAAAATTCTTTTATAACAAATTCTTTCGAATTAAGATTAAGGTATTATTTTTTACCTTTTTATGTATACAAAAGTAGTAAAATAGATATTATTCTATAGAAAGACCAAATCATCACACTTTGATCTTATTACTATCCAAAGGCAATTTTGATGTCAAAATAGCTATAATATGATCTAAATTTAGTTGGCAACTTCTACTAACATCATTCACTCACAAGACTTCAAAAGTGATTGCATTAAGCATTGATCACAATTTAAGTTATGGTAATTGAAGTTTAATCTTGAATAGTGAAGAAAATTTTATAATAAGAATAATTTTAAGATACATTACTTAAATCTATGCTACTTAGTACAATTTCAATTCCCATCACTATATTCTTTGAAGAAGAAGTTTTTAAGATTCCACTCTAAGAAACAAAATTTCATCAAAAAACTTATGCCATTATATTGCCACAATTTTAATAACCTATGGTAATACCTTGTTGGTAATGCCACAAGACAATATTTATAAAAAGGTTATTTTAAGTTTTTAAAAGAATATCATGGTAACAACCAAATAAATAAATTTACTGATTTTAAAAAAAATCTAATCGAGTTTTTCAATTAACATAATTTTTTAGTCATACAAGTTGAAATCTAAATTAAAAATGCAAGTAGATGTTATTTGAATTTTTTATACTGTTAATATAAAAATAATAAAATATTAAACATAAAATTAGAAAATTTCAGAATTTTGCTTTTTTTTTTTTTGTTTTTCATAAATTCTTTGAAGTTGAAAAACATTATTTAGTTTATTATGAATATGTGTTTATATATATATATATATATATATATATATAAAATTTATTATGAATATGAGTTTATATATATATAATGTGTTATAAAAGTTTATGTATAAATTTTTTTTGTTTTTCATAATTATATATATAAACACATATTCATAATATTATATATATAAACAACATATTCATAATTATGTTATTTATACATATATTTGTTTATATATATATAAACACATATTCAAAAAAAAATTTGTTTTTCATAATTATATATATAAACACATATTAATATATATATATATATATATATATATAATGTGTTATAAAAGTTTCAAAATACTATTTTTACATTTAAATGTTTTACAATCATTTGATATTTATCCTATTAAAATTTTAATCTAAATGCAAATATTTTATTTTATGCATATATATTCAATGATTTCTCTTAAAAATAATGTATTAACTCTTTTCATTATAGAAATGATATAGACTGTATCGACCTTCATATATTAGAATCTAAATGAAATTAAAAATATTGTAATTTTTTTCAGATAAAAAGTAAAAATAATTAATATTATCAAAGATAGTTAGTCCAAGTGGAATAATATACCTTTAAAATGATATTGGGTATTACATGATTTTGTATTTTCTTTTAATAATATTTGATAAAATATTTTTAAAAATCAAGTAATATATTAGCATATTATTATTTATAACTATTTTTTCATATATTTATTTTTTAAATTAAAAAATATTTAATAATTTAATATTTAAAATAAATAAACAATATCATTTAATTGTTACTGGTATCTTTCAAAGAAATGGTAATAAAAACTGTCATAATAGTTCAAATTTATGTAAATAAAAATTATTAATAATTTAAAGAATATTTTATTTAATTTCCTAATTATTAACATCTATCTATATCTGATGTAAAATCATCCATCTATTTTGATTAAATTGAGGGATATGAAATCATGTATTAAGATAGAGAATATATAAACATAGTTAATAAATTATCATTATTATTTTTTATAACTATAGATATCTTCACAAATATTTCTCCATTTGAGATCC